TTTGGCCAAGTATTGGATGCTGATTAAATTACAGTCTCGAAAATCAAATAAATGCTTGAACATAGTTCCTATAGCCCTTCACATATGTATGCTCATAGGTATGTTGGTAGTATGTATATATGTACATATATATACATAAGTCTGATCATGCATGTTCCCAAAAATTTGCGTTTGCGAATGGCAGGCAGCATGGATTGTTTTCGTATGTCTGTATCGGTGTAATTAGGATGGCAGGTGCTGTCAAAATGTGTTACGAAAGCGGTTCAATACTACCTACATCTATATAGGCATGTACATATGTACGTAGTATATACATACATATATATATATATACATACAAAGTACCTATATACTATATTTTGCTGCCCTGCCCTCATCTCGTCTATGCAAAGGCAATTGAGGCAGCAATTCAGGAGTAATGAGCGCATGACACATGCTGCCCATGTCAGCCCAATGTCTGTTGTCTATCGTCGCCAATTACGCAGCTGCAGGCGCTGTAACAAATACACACACACACACACACACATACACATATACACACATAGTGTAGCAATACACTTAACAACATCGGGGCGCAGACAGGAGGATGCATGTGCTTGTATATTGGCATTTTGTATAAACATTTCTGCGTGTGTATACATATTGAGACTTTCAGTTTCTTGGTTGATTCTGTTTTTTTTTTATTCCATACACCCCATGTCCAGAAAGGTCTACTCGTTTACTTCGCATATGTGTAGTCTCCAATTGAAATAGTCTGCATTCTTATTCAAATTTGCAGGCAAAAAAAAAAAAAAAACTCTGCAACCACTAAACAGTTTATTCATCCAATTTTGGCCCCTTAAGCCCACACGGATGGCTAAATAATGACATTAATAGTCGACGTGAATTAGCCAAAAATACAACAAATAGAAATTGTTCGTAATTAATCAGCAAAACAACTTCTCAAAATGTCTTAGCAATGCATAGGGAATCAAATATTTGAATACCAATTAACATTAGATGTAATGGAATCAATTGAAGGAACTAATTTTGTTAAAGAAAATAATAAAATGTTGTCCGTTGGAGTTAAGTTTTCAATGTTATTTGTTGCACAGTTGAAATTGAATTATATTTACTTATAGTAGAATTTATAAAACGTCGATATGAAAATATTTTCCGTGTGAAATATATACTTATATTTTATTTATACTATACTGAACAATATTAAAATAAGTCAATGAACCTTTATTGGAAACTGGCTTTGTAGTTTGTTGCTAAATACAACAAAAGTTGTTACCTTTGAAGGGTTAATAAGGCCCTAATCATAAAATTATATCAATCCATCGACCTAGGTATTGATTGAAAAGATTCATCTCTTTCTCAGTAACGATATTCCAAAAAGTAGCAGAAACACTTTTCCTTTTTTACAGAAAAATTTTCAAAGCTCGATTTTTACAAAAATTTATATTTTTGGTTTTCTTACTTCCTTTAATCTGACTAGATGAAGGGTATCCTTTAGTGGAAAATGCCTAACAGTAGTTTTTTTTTTTCCCCCTAAAATCGGATGCATATGCCAGCGGGATAATAAAAATATTGCAAAACCAGAAATCTTCAGAGCAACAAGTAAGATGAGATCTAGTAAGAAGAATTTCTACCAGCCGTCGGGGGTATGCAACAGATCACACAGTCTGTGAACTTATATATGTATCTTATGCGCGGTCAAGAAGAAAGAAAGAAGCAAACCAATACTCTTGTAGGAATGTAATATTCATTATAAAATGTTAATTGCTCTGGTCCAAAAAGAAAGCTCTGTAAATTCAAAAGGACACATTGTACAATCTGTGGAGGAATTATTTTAGTTTGAAATTTACATACAAACTAAGGCAGACGTTGCCAAAATAAAAATGCAACAAAAAATGCGACATGTCGCCATTTTGTGCAACAAAAACATAAAAAGAGAAGAAAACAAATAGATAGCCAGTGCTTTGCTCGTATTTTGCTTTGGCTTTTGCGTTTTTATTAACGATTTGCCACGCTATGATGAATCTGATATTTTCATGCTTAATCACTAACCGTCGCCACGGGTTGGACCATCTTCTTTGGCTCTGCCTGTGGCTGCTGCTTTGGCTGTGATTGTGGCGCGAACTGTTGCTGCCAAACGTCGACAACAAGACACAAACATTCTGGCCGGCAGCCAAAATACTTAACGCTGCAGATGAAATGGCAGAACGTCAACAGCGGCTTCGCTGGCAGGGGTAGTGAAGAAAATACCGAGATGCCAGGAGAGCCAACAGAAAGAAAACTATGGCAGCCAGAACGAGAACGGGGCAGTGCCATTAAATTCAGGCAGAGATGCAACAGGGCTGGCTGCCGACACGACACGATACGACTGACAAAATAAATCTATAGTATATGCATGTACCAAGTGAAAAGAACGAGCCAGAAACAAGGAGAGAAAAAAAGACACAAACACGAACTCGAACGAAACAACAATTTTAATTTTCTTTTATTGCGATCTCGCGCAATAATTGCGCGTAAACAACAAAATTTCTCTTCATTGGATTTCGACTTGAATTTTTTCAACAATTTTATGAGATTTGGTTGCAAGGCGCGCGTTGTACAAGAAGATACACACTCATCAAATATATATATATGTATATATATATATATGTATAGTATATGTATGTATAAGTGCGTATGTACATCTTTAAGCAAGCAGGTAAAATGACTGGGGGCTGACACACACACACACACACACAGATATACACATACAAGCACACACACACACAGAAACGCAGCCAGACGCGTGCTAGAATTTCTAATGAGTTGCCGCACATGCATGAATATTTTATTATTTCATAATACACACACACATATGTACATATAATGTAAATAGTATATGCACACACTTATGTACGCAGTTTTTGATATTGTATGTGTATATAAGCCAAATTATCTTCAGTAGTGACGTGCATTTTTGCCAATACATGACGCACTTCCGTTTTCCCAGCCATGCCATTAAACTATTTCATAGTAGAATTATTTAAATTTCAGTTTAGTTAAACAAGATGAGGCATGCTTTGAATTCCCCTTTCGTTCAGAGTTCATTCCATTAGTTGCATTTTCAAGGCATACTTTTATGACAAAATGAAGTTGCTTGAAAGTGGAATCGGAATTTAGCTTTTAGAACTACAGATATCTGTGTGTGTGCGGGTCATCTTCATCACTTATTTTGTACATTTAAAATATAATCTAATGAAGATTCTGTACATGGCTTTGGATAATGAAACCAGCTATTGAGTTTTGTGCATTTAGCAGGTTTTACTGAATATAAATATTATCTGGAGATATAGTGAATGTTAAAAATGATTCGTTAAGTCAAATAAATAATACAAATTATCTTCGTCTGCTGCACATCTACTCATTTATATATTACACTGTGTCATGGGCTTATATGTAGTAGTATATAGTATATGCCCTACCTTTTCTGTAATATCTTCTAATCACATTAAAAAGCATTTTTAACCAATTTTCATGACCCTCTAAATAATGATTCTTAGGTAATTAGAGATTTGATCTTAGTTCTGTGTTCGCTAAAGAAAACCTTGGAGAATGATGGATGGACGGACACACATCGCTTATCGTCTCATCATACTTATACATTTAGCGAATCTATGTACAACATGTGGTCAATCATTCCTAAGTTTAATCAGCACATACTTTCAGTAAAGTGTACACAAGTCTAATTCGGCAATCTGTATAACTATTGATGGCGCTATCTACACTAGCGATCGGTTTCTTTTTCAGTAATTATCGATTAATATTTGTGTGTCCCAACAGAGCATATAACTGATTTTAACGATAAAAACATGCATATATGTAAATCAGTTTATTAACGAAAATGACTATATATAATTACGTTTGAACAACTCGAACTATATGATCTTATTTTGTTAATTTTGTTTCTTAGTATTGAAATATTTTAATACAGTTTAATACAGTTAGCGCTTTATTTTAATTCATTTATATTTGAATGTAGCCTATGGATGTTTATTTATCGTGATTAGAACGACATGGCGTATACGCAACTAAAATACAATATTTCTGCACATATTTCAGCACAAAATCACAAACCTATTTCTTAAACACTGAATGTTTAAAGACAACTGTGTACTTGGATTTAAATTATACTCATTATACTTGATTTCGATGAGGATCTCGGATCCTTTTTTCGTATGTCGGAGCCAAGATCCATTTCCAGTTCGTAAGGTATAAAAATTCATTTAAATGAAAATGAAATGAAACTACATATGTATACGCTTAAGCTTCTGATATCCAATCGAGGATATTTTAATTATTATAATAATTTAATATTAAAAACGTTTCGATGAACCACTATAGATACGGGTATGATTTTACGTTTGTGAAAGCACAATCTGAAAATTAGTGGGGACCTGAAAGGATAAATTTTTTAGCCACCAGTTTTAATATCAGACTTTGAAAAATCAACGAAATGTAAAAGCGAATAAAAATGCACAGAATTTATATCTACGTTGCTCTATCTCTGTATGCATCACATACAATGGAAATTTCACTCACATATCGGCATGAAAATTAAGTCGGAAAATGAAGCGATATCGATTTCGGCGAAAAGGGGAACATTAAATATAAATAGTTATTAAATTCGCTTTTTATAATTTTTATTAAATATTAAATGTTGCTTAAAGTGAAACGAACGAACTCTCTGCCCATACTTGCTGCCCATGGAACCAATTAAAATAATAATAGAATACTAGAAGCTTGTAATATTATGCGAATACTTAGTGCACGGTTTCCTAACTACAGCAATTTTCTGCCGTTGTCATGGCAGTGCACTGCCAACCGTAAACGAGCAAAGGGCAGGGACGAAAAAAATCTCTGGCAAATACTTGACGTTAATTGTAGGGGAATGCTGGTAATGGTTGAGTTGTTTGCGCAAGAGTTTAAGATTAGCAATAGCGCTAGTTAAACTTGTTGCTTACCTGTTTAATGCTACTGTTGAACTTAATATTTTCCAATGGCAACTGGCAAAAATATCTATATAGTAGTACAAGTATATCTCTGGAAGGGCATATAAGCCGTAGTACACCTCGTAGAATTAACAGAATTGACTTGAAGCTAACGCTACGTTGCCGTTTTCCACCTGAGTTTTTTGTGTTCCACTAAGAAGCTGAAAGGAAGTGCAGAAAAGTGTGCAAAATATTAGTTTCCATTGAAATTTGAAAGTCAATCAAATAAAAAGGACACTTTACATAGTTAGGCGATAGAAATGCTTGCACAATGGAAGCCCAAGGGCTTAGGTTGCTGCCTACAGTTGCCAGTCCACAGGCCATCAAATACAGCCCTGCAAATGCAACAAGTCCGCTACGATGGCATTTAGTCAACCGTTATTTGCAGTTGCAGAGTTTCCTGCGAGACTCGAACAAAGGCGTTGTGCGCGCGTGTGATGCCCGCTGTGTGCACAACGCCCACGCACCGTTGCCTCTCTCTCACTCTCTCCCTCTCTGTTATTTTTTTGTGTGTTTGTGTAACTGGGTGTGTATGTATTTGTGTATACGTGTACAAGTATGAGTGCGCCTTCATAGACGTGTGGGTGGCAAATGAAATGCTTCAACGCCAACAGCAGCAGAAGAAGCAGAGTCAGAGACAGCAGCCACATTAGAGCATCCACCTACAAAGCTTGACTATGAGAGAGTTGATCAGCTTTTCCGCAGTTCCGAGTATGTTCGAATATATGTACATATGTATATACATATATATATATATATATATATATATATATATATATATATATATATATATATATATATACACGTATTTATATGCGCTACTGTTACCCTGACAGCCAAAGCATTTCAGTTTTCTTTCTTTTGGGTGTCACAACTCGAGCTGCCGCTAAGTGGGCTTTAGAAGCCAACAAACCCCTTCAGCTGTTTTTCAGGTAGGGTATGCAAACATGCCTCCACCACACACATAAACATTCACCAGTTGTCTATAATAAATTTTCATAATTTTCTACTCTGTCATGGCATTTGATATTTTCGTCAGCAAGCGTAGCAGTGGAAATGTTTTGTTTTTCACTTTTTTATGACACTTCTTCGTTTGGCCGACTCTTGAGTATATCTGTATATATGTACATGATTTTGTGCTTTATAATTTGGCAACGAACACGACATAACGCCCACCATAGAAAAATAATATATGTACGTATATCTATTAGGTGTCAACAAATTCATATTGAAATAAAGTCAGCATTGTTTATGCCTCAAGGAGACAACAGGGCGACCAAAACGAGCGGCTCAATGTCAGTGGCTGTGTAGTTAATTATTTGAGGACTATATACACACATACATATACATACGTATGTATGTACTTGTATATTGCCAATGTAAATATTTCCAAAACATTGCTGTTGTTGTTTTGTTGCTTTGCTCGTTGCCGCCTCATTGAGTCATGTGCATGACACAACCAAGACAACAACAAAAGCAACAACTGACCCAACAACTGGCCAGTCCGAGAACGAAATTCATTTTGCGGCATTTAAAAGTGTACATTTTACAAAATGGCGTTGCAGACGTTGCTCATTTTTGTTAGCTCTTTGCAGCGACTTTTGTAATTATTGGCAGGCGGCCAAAGTCTACAAAAAATTTGCGTAAATGAACCACATTTTGTTGCAGTTGCGAAGAGTCTTTTAAACAACAACTATACTCGTATACATAGACATTTCAATAAATTTATGTGTGAAACTGAAATTTATTTAAGTTGTCTAGAAAATTGTATAACATGAGTAGGAAATGGAAAATATTTTCGATACAATTTATGTGAATAGGATTTTTTTCTCAGCTGGCTTAATCTAGCTATATGTGGAAAAGAACCCACATCATCACCATCAGTTCAAGCTGAGGCGGAAATGGGCCATCAAAAATAAACTATTAACTATAACTATTAGACTCTAGTTAAAGAAACACTTGCAAGCAATATATAATCACACATGTTCAGCTTTTAAATGTAAAGAAACAATCCATTTTATTAAAATGTTTATCAAATGTTCGACACGAAACCCCCATACGAAGTTGGAAAAAGACTTTGTAGATATTTTGTGATTAATTAAGCTTTTTACAATGCAACGCGATTTTTAAAAATCTTTGTTCCTAAAGGATCTTGATTTTCTTATCGTAATTGAAGCCGTTATTTTATTATTTTCATTACATATATTAAAGCCATTTATCTTTTTGATTGAAAAGAAAGAGCATCAACAATTTGGATATCTTACGTTCTTTTAAAATGGTGCAGCTTGCGCCATCTACTGGCTGCTGAAAACAGCTGCCGCGGATCGTGACAACAGCTGTTCATTATCAATTCCACTAGCGCCCTCTGGTGCGTAACACTTGCTTTTGGGAACATGTTGCATGAAATTGTTGGAAACATGCTTGGCACTTTTCACCTCAAATTTTCTTCTCTTTTGTTGTATTTCTTGTAAAAAACAGATGTTTTTATTTATTTTGGGAAATTTTATTGCTTTGACAGAATTTCGCTTTGGCTTTGCTGAAGATTTCACTTTCAATAAACCATATGATTAACAGGCTGTTTTGGCCATTTCTTTTATATTTATATTTTGCTAAATCATAATTAATATTTAAAACGTATAATTAAACAAACAATTTTAGCGGATTTTTTCGCGCACATACTCAGCCACACACAGAGAGACCAACACACACACGTATGCGTTGCTGCTCGTATTTGCAGAAAAGCGCAAAAATAGATTTACATAAAAACTCACGTCCTTCGTCGGGATTTCAATTAATATGAATAAATTTGTAAATTTAAAATGCCGCGCAATTAAATTTGCAATTTTTTTTTAATAGGCATTCACTTTCGATTGTGTATGCTGATTATTGAATTATGTATTTAAAAAAATATTGACTGGACATTGCTTGCCACCAGGCGTTGCACTCTTCAGTGCAGCAAACACGCGCGAGCTATCCATCGGATATTCGAAAATTGAAATCACACGCAGGCGAACGAAGAATTGAAGATTGAAATGAAAATATGTATGTACGATATTTCCTACACTTCACTTTACTGGCGCAGAAAATCGCATATACAACGAGAATGTATAATTATAAATAAATGTTCTATAAAAAACGTTTTTGTTTCTCTACGACGCGTTCCTATTTGTTGTTCTTGTTCTTGTGCTTGTTGTTTCTGTTTCTGTTGCTGTTTTGTGTCGATGTGTGTTGTAGTACGTGTGCTGGTTTGTGTTTTGAGCCATTTTAATTTTAGAGGTAACCTAAAATAAATAACCAACCACACCAAACCATACCCCATACCAACTCATACTACACCCTACCTATGCACACACATACAAACATTTGAGTCTGTCCGTATACCACAGCAAGTACCTTTCTTAAAAATGGTGCCGAACAGCTAAAATGTTCGACGATTGTAAACAAACGCATTCAAATTTACAATAAAAGTGAAAAATTCGGCAAGTCACAACCCCTGCTAGCCAGCTTGTTTGCTTTAATGAGCTTTTAAGTTACCAACATTCTAAAGACAATTTAATGGCGCATTTGTAATTTTGTTGGATTTGTTGTTTGTATTGGAGAGGATTTGCTCTAAGTGCTTGTGAGACAGAACCATAACAAGTTACATTACAGCCTTACTGAAGGAGTACGGCTTGAGACCCCACCCAATAAATTAAATTTAAATTTTGTTAAAAAAAACAGATTTTTGCAGCGGCAAACAAGGACAAATTGTAATTGCATTCTCGCATCAAGTTGCTGAACTAATGATTGTTAGTTCAGCAGCTAAACTGCGCTAGCGGTTGATTAATTTAAGAAGATAAACCTGATTACTAAAAATGTTAAACTAATTATTAATTAATAGTAGTCTTTTCAAAATCATTTTATTTTCTTTGTCAGGAAGGTGGAGAAAATAGTTATATACAATTTTGTTGAAAAATAAAACAAATAAGAATTTAATGGCTTCATCTATGTTTGGAGAGAGAATATTATGTATTATTTATGTAGGCAGTCTTCCAAATTTAAGAGCAAGCGAACAAAACTAGCTTTTTAGTGGTTCAACTTAAGGACTTTGTTCAAATGAACTGGTTCTGAACGAAATGGCACAGCACTAGCTAAACATAATTGACTTAAATGGTCTCCTATTAGTTCGTTAATTTTAACCACTAATAATATATCAGTCCAACACTATATTTTGTCTAGACACATTTTGAAAATTACATTATAATTGTTTATATCAGTAATTGAGATTTACATTTTGGCACTAGTTTATAGTACTATGTATGTTTATTCAAAACAACAGCAACAACAACAATTACTGTATCAACTATAGCTTTAAGTTCGATTCAACCGGTATGCGAGCAGTTCAGGAGTGAGCCGCTTCCTTTCTTCCTTAATTCAGGCGACGACGACGACGACGACGACAACGACAACAACGACGCGTTTGATTGCTCGGCCAATGCGCTAATAATGCCGTTAATGCTAGCCGATCGGATCGCTCAAAATAAATCGAATGGCGCGCACAGTTGGGCATACACAAGAGCAACCAACAAACACATTGAAATATTTTTAAATTAAAGCAATTTTTCGTATTATTTTTGGTTCTCTTTGTTTTTGTTATTGTATAAGTATGTATTTTGTATTTAGTATTTTGGTCGTTGTGCCCGCCTTTCTGACCGTCCGCCCGTCCGCCCGCCCGCCTGCCTGCCAGCTCGCTTTCTGTCTTTCCGCCTTTGGTCGAGTCGTTTGGCCAGCTGGTTCTGCTGCGTGTTGCTTTGACTGCCGATCTCCTTCAACTAAATGAAAGGAAATTCTGCTTTTGCCTGAGCATTCAGATGATGCTGTTTGTATGTGTGTGGTGCTGCTGTTGTTGTTGTTGTTGTTGTTGTTGCATTGAAAATGTAAGTGCGAAGTGCGCGCACATTTTTAAATAAAATTTCACCTATTTTTATAACAGACAATAACACCCGCAAAAACAAGAGAAATACATATTATTTAGTGTTGGGCCTACAATTCGGCAAGACTTGCATAAGGACTTGCGGACTCAAGTTGGGCTTTCGTTTCTGTCCTAGTCGATCCGGACCGGCCCGGCCCATCCCGATTGCTGCTCTTTGATTGCCACGAGCTGTGGCGCGCACACATGCAGCTATAATTTTAAAATTAGCACTGAGAAAAAACATCAATATTCTTACATTCAGCATGCATGATTTCCATGGAAATTCAACAAGGAGTTATTTTTAAACGCAAACAGCGGCATCAGCAACAGCAGAGGCGGTGGCAATAATAACAACAGCAACAACAACATTAGGTGTGGCCAAATCTTGTGTATAAGTGTTTTGCGTATGAGGAGGCACATGCATCTGCTTATTATCTAAAATCCTTGCGTGAAAAGCTGGCGTAAAATAGATTTGACAGTTATATAAATGATGCGCATATCTCTATTTCCGAGTACGCATTCACGCACATACTCGTATATCCATCAATTGCAGGCTTGCCATTGTCATGGATATTCGGGACATTACGAAACAATGGCAAGCCTTTAGGCAGGCTTGTGTCTTTATGCAAGCCAACTGGCGTGCGTGCGTGCAACTTATTGCCTGTTGCCTTTTGCGTGTGGCACGTGCAACATTCACGTGCGACTGGATACACAGGTAGAGCGAATCTGCACAAGTTATGGTGGCTTGCGAGGCAGCGACGATGCTGCCTAATTGGGCAAAGCATTCCCAGAACTAGCTTTACAACCAAATGCGCCTCAAAGTATGTTACATAAAATTTTATTTCGATGTGGCGGAGGGAGGGCGATATGCGAACGGAAAGTTAATAAATTAATGAGCAACTCAATGAATTTTACAATATTTAACCCACACACACTCGCACACACTAGCCCAGTATTTAGTGTACACGCTTAATTAAAGCGCAGGGTTTGACGAGCTGCAAAGCGAAATTCAAGCCTCGCATTTACTGTGCCCAGCGAACCGCGTGCTGGCGGTTTAGTCGTGGCTGTTACTACCTGCGTCACGTATCTAAGCAGACACACACACACACACGCACATATATATGTATACACTCCTGCCGCTGCTCAAAATGTATGTAAGCGTAAAATGTTATTGAAAGTGATGAATTAATGAAGCGTTAAATGAATAAATGTATTCTCTTGCGCCCTATTGAACCGGAAGTTGCGACAACAACAAAATGGCCGGACAGATACTACCTTTTACATAAATTGCCACCATTAACTGCCACAATTCATAACATTGTGGTCTCGGCGCTCATTCTCATAAGCAGCGACACTTTGCATTTAAAAGTGGTCGTAGTCGATGCATAGTTTTTTAACTTCATTACAAATCACTTGATAAATATGTAGTTTTGAACATACCTTTTAAAGTGCCATTTAACTGTGTTCCTTTGGTGCTTAGAGTGGGTTTCAACTGTTTAGCTAAAATGAAACGAAATTTTAAAATTAATTGTAAGTAAAGTAATAAGAAATAAACATCTAGAATTAGTTTTTCCGGCAGATAATTGCTGTAGCTGACAACACTTTTCAACCATATTAACTTGATATTATACCTAAATTTAGATCGATGAACGAGTATGAAAAAATGTCAAGAACTACAAAAAAAATACAAGCATAACGATTCCTTTTCCTCACCTTTTAATTCGAAAAACCTGGAAAATTTTGGGGATAAAGATTTTACTTCTGAGCTTTCAAGTTGAAATGATCTTATCAGCTCATATTTGTCGGCATAATAAACAAATCAAGTAAAAAGAAACATGCTACGAAAATCAGGCTGTGCTGCAAGTCCAAGACCGTCTGTAAGTCTAAAGACGAACCAACAAACATTAAGAGCATTTCATCTTAAATAAGGCGAATACATTTGCATAGTCACTAGAAATCGCCTTGAAAAAAAGGGTGTTCAAATTCTTAAGACACACAAGTATACCTAATTTTGTAACTTATGCAAATGTGATTGATTTGCACAACCTATCATGTTTGCGATAATGCATTGACTTACTATTGACTAACTAGTAGTGCTGATGCGGTTCTTGTTATTGATGATATGCTGCCATTTGCATATACATGCATAGATAAGCGTATGAAATTCGTTGAAATTCTCGGCACGCTCAAGGAACGCGCATTATAAGCCAATAACTCACATTGACTGTCAATTTGACGGCACACACACAATCAGACTCATACACATCATCAAGCATACGGCGATAACCTAATTTTTCGGTCCGCCAATGAGAAACAAAATCTCTGCAGTCTCAAACATTTTGCAAATGCCTCTGACAGAACTAGTTACCTCGCCAGTAGTTTTGCAAACTAGTTTATTTTCCCACAAAAAAAGGGAAGAATGGCTCGAAAAAGGAATGACACCCGCATATAGGAATTGAGAAATCTATGATTAAGGTTAATGGTTTGTACCATGATCATGGCTATTCCATCATTATTGCTTTGCTGATGAAGAAATTGGTAACCAACTTATACAATTTCTACAGCGCACTTAAGTCATAAAAGAGGAACAAATAGCTGATGTGCCAAAGGACTCTTGACACTACTAATATTTACCGATGAAGAACATTTAAACACATTTATCTGGGTTGAAAAATTAAAATATTTCTCAATCCTTTAATAATTAACATTTAAATTGACAGATGCGCCGTTCTTTTTTAGAGGGATTATCACGCAAGAAGTCGAAATATAAAAAAGTTTAAAAATTGCATAATAATAGCAATAATAATGTTAATGAACAAAGCATTTTTTAATTTCTGGCAATATTTTTGATTTCAAAACTTTAGTGGCCTATCCCAACCACGAGTAGTTAAGGCATAGAATCACTTTTAAACAGAACCAGTACGTACGTTTATCCGCACTAGTTTGAGTAACTTCTGGGAATTACAGGCACGTTACGCCATTTTTTTGGTTCTTATTTTTTCTTTCTATCATTGCTACTCACAGTATGTGCGCGCTGATGATTTTGTAAGGTACGAGTAACATGCTATTAGCGCGGTGTATAAATTTCCATATTTATTCCCAGAAGTGGAACGCAACGAAGTGCTACCAAGTGCTAGGCACGCAAAATATTGATGGGCCAAGTGGTAAAATGTTCGCCTCACATATATTTGCATTGCACATTTGTGTGGAGCAAGCAATGCCAGCAAATTGATAGAAAATAACAAAAATCAAAAATGCAATTTATTTTATTGGCCCAACACTAACACCAAAACAATGCTCCTGTATCCATGCAAAAACCAACTACTTACTTATTTTATTATGATAGTTGAAGCGTTTACGTTTATCTAGAAACCAATTTGTTTGCCATTAAGGCAAACATGGGGGACGTGTACGTTGCATCAAAATGCAGCATGCGTGCGTCGCGGCAGAGCGTCAATCAACTTATGCCACTTGCAACATGTCTCATTGCCAACACATTCGAGTATATATACAAGTGACTGAGGACTCCGACACATTTCCGTTGCAGCACTGAATGGGAATAGGAAAGCAAAGAAAAAAGAATCGAATATCTGACTGGAAATGCAAACAAAGGGCACACAGAAAAAAAGTGCTTAATACAAAAAAGGGTAAATCGATTAACGTTCGTTAAACGCAAATTCATAAGACATTTCAGCAATTTTATAATTAAATTAATAAAAATAACTATTGAATGCAATTACTAGATAAGTGAGAGGCAGATATTAATAGTAATCAGTTCATTAGTGCATTTAAATAACCGTTTAGTTGATTATATTCTTTACAAAATAACTAACTCTAATATGGAAGTCTTAGGAAATCTAACACACAACAAATAGACATCGAGCTAAAATATCAGAGCTATATTTGTTTCAATTAATTTATGTTAACAATCAAATAGTTCTGTAGTTATATAATCACTTTATTAAAAACGAATTTGCGTGTATACGCAAGAAAATCGATGAAAACAAATAACAATTGGACACACAACTTGAATGAAAAAGGAATGGAGAAATCAGAAGTACCCATAATTAATCAGTTATATTTGCTTATAGTTTAGTTAATTTGTTTGTAAGGTTGAATGAATACATGAATACATGGAGAAATTTATGGAAATTTGAAATTCGAAAAGAATTACCAACAAGTAGAAGTAACTTGAGCTATGTGCATCAATCTCTATTAAGAACAACCTCAATGCGGAAATTTAATATGCTAGTCATGAAAAAATGTAGTCTGGCGAAACTAGAAACATGCAAATGTTTTAAAACTTCATGAGGCGTACGCCACAGCCTTTTATTATAAACACTTCCGGATTGATTTAAATGAGTAAGAATCATATTGTTATCTGAAATATTTTTGAATTTGTTGATTAATAAAAGTTAGAGCAAGAATTTCTATGTTGTCTTTTTGTAACAGTGCATGTATAGTACATAAATACATGTTTTATGCGCTTTAAAGACAAGTTTTCAACCTTCGATTGACTCGTGACTTCGTTCGGCGGCACGTTGGCACTTTGGCACGTTGGGTTTCGCTTTCCTTAGGCAAACCCAACGAACGTAGCAGACAACTTTTGCTGGAGACGGTGCATTGTCGTCCACTGTTGAATTGCTTCAATGGCTGTGGCTATGGCTGTGTGGCAACTGAAAAGCGTTAGCGGGCCCATGAAGCGGATGTCCTTGAAATAACACACCATGAGACTACGACAAGTGGCTACGACTTGTGGCATGTTATCCCCGCCTATGCTCCAAGTTCAAAAGTGTTGACTTTTAAGCGCATTGGCATTTTCCCATTGCACTAGCAATGCGCCAGAAATTGATAAACAAGCCAAGGCTTTTAAATGCCACAACGCTCTTTGCATATTCAATTAGCTCAAATGTCATGATGATGTGGTGGTTTTGCAAAGTCACAGGAAGTGGCAAAGGAATGTGGACTATTGCCGTTATAGTATGTAGTATTAGATCAAGCAGAAAACACATACCAGAACACATAACACATTTATTAATTTACGGCTGATGAAAAACTCCAAAACTAATAACATCACAAAATATGCGACAAAAGTTTGCCAATTTTCAAACATTATTCGCCTTGGCCTTTGAATTCTTTTTCATAGCCAGCTATTTTTGTAACTACTTTGAGTAGCCAGCTTTGAATCGGGTTTTACTTCTTTCTTCTTTTTTGGACCCTGACACTGCCGTTTATAGAGTCCGCAATTTCAACGAGAGTTCTGCATTGAAGTTAGACAAGTTTCAGGACGATGTAAAAGTTGAAAGTTGAAAGGTTGTAACTGTGTAAGTATGTGTGTGTTTGGTATGTTATGAGGCATTCTAAAAGCAATTTCGTGTTGTTTTGAATTTGTGAGAATTATTAATACAATTTGCGTTACTCATACGCCGTGTAGGAGAACCCTTCTTGCATTGCGTGTGCGTTTCAGTGACGTCAGTGGCTATATCCAACTTTATGCACTAATCTCACTTTTAATTAATTTAAGCCATTTTAAAAATGGCCACACACAATGACCAAAATAGAAACGTTTGCAATTTTTTGCTGCATATCGCCAAGGCGCCCCTGAAATTTGAGCGCAACTCAAGAGCGCATCGCATTGAGTGTGAGTGACTAAGTGAGTAAATGAGTAGGTTGATGCGCTCAGAACGCATATACACAACATTTCAATGTCAATGCAAATGCAATGCAAACGCATTGTGTACAACACCCTCTGGAAACAACACCAAATCCACCCCAAACCAAGGTCGCCCGCGTGCAACCCTCGTTCAAGTTCAATGCGATGTGCGGTGCACGTCAGCTGTCGGCATTTTTGTGTTGCACTGTCCTTGACAGCACCAATGACGCCCATCGGGCTTGGTGCCACTCTGTAAACTGCAATATTACGCATATTTCGCATTAGATGTTATAGATAGTTATGGATATTGATAATGCTAAGCGTGATACCGTATGCCGCACACTTAAGTTAAATAATTTCTTTCTATAATTCTTTTGCTGCACGTAAAAAATATGTAATTAATTATTAATTTCAATCAAGAAAACAGAAATTAAAAGTTACTTAGGCATGAGATTACAAAATTATTAAAAAATTTTATTTCATTGTATTAAAATAATGGCTTGAAATACTATCATTTGTACATTATTACATTATTAGGAGACGTGGCTGACCCTACAAATAATATAGAAAGTAAGATTTTGAATTTTTTTTAATGCACTCCCCCCACTCCACCGATACATATCAAATGTAAGTTATTAAAACATATGCGTTTATGTATGAAATATGCATGTTAATTGCAGCTTTTATACTTTTAAAAATATATGTCCAATATTTTTATTCTAATATGCATCTTAAAAATTTAGAAGAGCTGGTCAGAATCATTGACTATTATTATTCTGTTTTTTAATTGTTATTTTTCAACTAACTTCTGTTCTTATTCTAACTGCAATTGTACTAACTAATAAAG